GTTTTAGTCTGGCCAAAGCTGATTTAATACTTTAAAAATAACTGGCAACGTGGTATCTTGTTAGTTTTAATAAGGGCCAGAAAAATGATTTTCACTAAATGTGAGATTTTATACATCAACAAAACGTTCAGCAATGTTGATTGGCGGATTTTATAAACAAAATCATAAAAAACACTGTAACAGAAAATAGAAAAAAAAATAGAAAAATAAAGACGTTTCTCCAGTAGTCCCAATTTTAAAGTCATATTCGACACATCTGCTCTCAAATGTGCTGCTAACACAGAAACATTTTATCTGTAGTTTTTATATATTTTAAAATGCAGAGTTTTTTGAGTTTTTACTTGAAGTGATTAACCTGCATGGCTTAAAGATATTCGGGGCTGGAAGCTCAGGCCAGGCGGCGCCCTGCCATTAACTGCCACGAATTTCTAGTATGGAATATCCACTTGCTGTACTTACTGATGAACAGCAGGGGGCAGTGCGAGGTGGCGTTTTTCTCTGCTGGCGTTTCTGGATCTCTCTCGTAACTGACTAACCCTGTCACCTCATCAGTTCTTTCCTGCACTGTTTATCTGAAGGTGACAGGTTTGGTGGTCTAATAGGTTTTGCACAGTTGTTAGAAGTCAAATTGCCTCTGTATCTTTCAATCATTTTTTTAAAAGCAAGTTTTGGAATCTCCTGTTTTTTTTTTTTACTTGTTTTGCGTTGACTTTCCTTCCTTATCCTTGTAATTTAATATCCTCAGAAATTTGTTCTGAAAATAAATAACTTGTACTCAATGACAGTTCTGACTGGAAATTAAATAAAGGGGGTTAAAGGGTGGTCTCTGGCTTTTGCACAGCACTGTATGGCAGGTGTACCTGATAAAGTGGCCAGTGAGTGTACCTACAGCATAGGTGTACATAATGAACTGACACCTCAGTGTCTGTGGCATGACTAGGGCTTGTCGATCTGCCCTCTGCAGATTTTATTGTTATCTGTCCTGTTATATAGTGTATATAGTGTACTGTAACACTCATTCAGTCTCATCGGTGTGACAGAATTTGTGAGTGAATAAGACAAAGCATACACAGATATTTCATTGACTTAGAATAATGGTACTATCTGTGTTCAGTGAAGTTTTCAAGATACTGAGGATCAAAGATTTCACTTTCAAAATAGCAAAACTCTTAAGTGGTACAATCACCTTTCATAGCCTAATAAAGTCATTGTCTTGCGATACCACTGAATCAGTGGCGATACCCCTGAACACTAAAATCATATCATATGTGGAATTACCTTTTCTGTGATGGACCAAACACAGAGAAAATGTTTTATTTCTGAGAGCTTTAAGTTTAGAAGGTATCTATGAATAAACACCGGAATGGAAACTTCTGTTCAACACTCAAACTTCATCATAAACACTTATAAAGCATGATATGTATGTAACTATGAAGGCAGCTGTTTCAGTGTAATACAGCGTTGTACACTGTTTTACATTAATTTAACTTTCAGACATTTGCACGTTTCATGAGCCTGTAATGTAAAATATATTGCGATGAGAATGATTAGGAAATATCAAGACAATAAGCATCAGAGCAGGTGCTACATAATTTAAGGGGAAAAAAGCTGAAAAGATGCTCCAACTGTGTAAATTTTGATGTAATTTTTATGGATGGATGGATGGATGGATGGATACTTTATTGATCCCAAAGGAAATTTAGCAGTCACACAACACAGGACAGTTAATAATAAGAATGATACAATATAAAATGAAGAATATATACAAAAAACCTATCTACAGGCATATATACAACTAAAAATATGCAATAAGATCTATCCTGAGATAAAAAAAAAAAGGCAATGCAATAATGAATGTACAAGGAGGTACAGGTAACAGCACATAATGACAATGAAAATAAAGTGTCTAGGTGTGGCGTGTCCAGATGTGCAAGATGTTTGTTACGGTGTGCAGAAAGTGCAATATGTACAGTAAGGTGTCCGTATGTGCAGATAGATAAAATAAACCTGTAATTTAGCGTGAGAGATTCAGTCCTCATCTATCCTCTTCCCTCTTCTTTTCTGGCCCCACTGGGAAGAGTTGAAGAGCCTGATGGCTCTAGGGACAAAGGATCTCCTGAATCTGTCGGTTGACCAGCTCTGTGACAGTCTGTGAGACCTGCTACTAAACATGCTCCTCTTGTCCATGATGATGGTGTGCAGTGGGTGGCCATCATTCTCCATAATGGAGAGCAGTTTGTGCAATGTGTTTCTTTTGGCCACCTTAACCACAGAGTCCAGTTCCACAGTGACCAAAGACCCCGCACACCCGACCAGCTTGTACATCTTTTACATCTCGTCTCTCTTTTTCATGCTTCCTCCCCAGCACACCACAGAATAAAGAAGACAGCTGGCAACCACGGTCTGATAGAACATCTGCAGGAGCTTCCTACAGATGTTAAAGGACCCCAGCCTTCTCAGGAAATAGAGCCAGCTTTGCCACTTCTTGTACAGGATGTCTGTGTTGGCTGACCAGTCCAAACTATCATCCAGTTGCAGTCCGAGATACCTCTAGGCCTTAACCCTCTCCACTTCAACTCCCTGAATAGAGATTGGCTGTGTGAGTGGCCCTGCGAAAATCCACCACTATCTCCTTGGTCTTGGAAGTGTTCAGTAGCGGGTTGTTCCTATAGCACCATGCCACAAAGTCCTTCATCAGGTTCCTGTACTCCTCCTCCTGACCTCCCCTTACACACGCCACAATGGAAGTCATCCAAAAACTTCTGCATGTGGCACATCTCAGAGTTGTACTTAAAGTCTGAGGTGTACAGTGTGTACAGTGAGTACAATAACAATAGAAATATTCTCTCTTTGCTGCTGTGCATGTGTAAATCTTTCTCTCTTTGCTGTTTGTGTCTCTGCTTCTCTGCTTCACGCTGCATTTATCTTCAGTGTTTCTGAAATCAACTATTTAAAATGCACTTTTATTACATAATTTTAGCTAATATATCTTGCTACCCTGGTAGCTGGTTTGCTGGTTTGTAGATTAGATAATTTATGTAAGCTTTGGTGTTTAATTTCCTACTAACTAACAACTGTCTGTATTAGTTAATCAGGGAATTCAGCCTTTAGTTAGTTAGTTTTCTGTTTTGTAGAGATGCTAATTTAGCTAGCAGGCTACCAAGCTAACTCACCAGCCTTTGCGAATATTAGCAGACGCTGGCTTAATAACTGCTTCTAATGTGAAAAAAAGCATAGATGTTACATTAGCTTGTCAGTTTGCAGTCTTACTAGCCTTTCACCTTACCTTTGGCTACTTAAGATTTCTTACTAAATTCTTTAAAAAGTCTAAAGGCTCACTTAAATAGGCATCATAGCCGAGCTAAACCCTCTAAACAGATTAGGCACATTGGTAAAACTTGCATTTTGATTGGTTGTCCTACATTCATCGGCGGTACTGATTGGCTTATACGGAAAGAACTTTATAAGGCCATTTAGTAAGCTGGAACCTTTTGGTACTTGTATCACTACCTTTTTGAAATCAATGAAGTGACAATGAAGTGTTTTTTTTGTGAAAAGTGAAGGGTTCTGCACTTTAAAATAAAATCTAATTATTAAAACAAAAATTAAATCATTTTGATTAAAACAATTTTTCAACTTTCCCTTATTGGGGTGATCTGTGTTCAACCATGTTACTTCCCCAGGTTTCAGCTCTGTTATACAGTCATTTTTGGTGAAAATTGTCTTTTTATTGCCTTTTTATCTTTTTATTTTTTATTGTCATTTAATTTAGTAGCGTATGTTACCAGAAGTGCCAATTCAGTAACGAGAGTCATTAGGTAAAATCACTAATACAAGAAAAAATCCACTATTACTGTGACAACTTTAGATTTTTATTATTTATTTGAAAAGATCTAAAAGCATTTCTTGCTAGAAAATAATGGATTCAATTAACATAGGCTTTTAAATGTCTAACTAAATATGACTCAATTTTGACAAAAATGTCAGATAGAACCTATATATATTGTATATATATTGTATATTGCTGGTCATGCTGGCTTCAGTTGGCTATACAAGAAAACCTGTTCTTTCAGGACACTATCACTGTGTCTTCATGTGTTCCACTTTTCACAAAACGTTTTGTTGCATTTTGTTCCACCTAAAATTAGTTGTAAGGGGTCTTTGAGCGATGAAGGACCACCTTTCAATGGGAAGAACCATTTTGGAAATGAAGAACCTTTTTAAAAGCTAAAGAACCTCCACATTGTGTAAATGTTCATAAAAGACCCATTAAATTGGTACAGATACTTAATATCATGTGACGGTTCTTTAAACCTTTAGAAGGTTCAAAGAAGGTTTTCTTCACATCCCACAAATCTCATTTTCAAACATGGGTATTTAGGTTCTTCAGTAGTGTTAGAACCCCACATATTGTCTAGAGCAGGGGTCTGCAACATGCGGCTTTACTGCCCTTTTGTGGCTCCACAGCAGAATTAGATATTTACGTAAAAATAAAATAATTCTCTGCTGTAAAATAAAGCTCTGCTGATTGTTCTAACACAGTTTCAACAATAAATGGTCTTAAATGCTGGAGTTAATGCAGCCTATAAGTGCTAATTCACCCTTTAACCCTGACGGTTGGTGCGCAGACTGCTTGTCACCACAGCAACACGGTATCTCGCCTAGCTAACTTAGCAGCTAATGAAAAGGCAAAGAGAAAGATTTAATTTGGAGCCGAGCGGATTTATTTGCATTTATAAGCAGTCAGCTGGTTTCCTGATACGTTTAATCTGTAAAAAGAAACTATCAAACACTAAAAAGTTGTGAAGCTGAAGGTTTCAGCTTCTTGTTTGAATCCTCCTGTTCCATCTTAAATACTGCAGCTGGTACATTCTGGCACCATTTAAGGTGGTAACAAGAAGCTGGCGAAAGAGAGGCTGACTTCAGCCTCCTAAAAAGTGAATGTTGAGAAACATTTTACAAGAAACTATTCTACTTTTGCAGAAAAGTTTCCTGCCAGAGATGCGAGAAAAGCGACTACAGCTGAGCTAAAGCTTAAAGAAGTAAGTCTGTGTTTTCCTGTGTTTTTAGAATATACTAGTACATTGGCACATACAGAGACATATTTACAGCCAAGATTGTGAAGAGACATAAAATACTGTGGTTCCCAAGGTGGTTTGATTTTTATGAAATTGACAAAATGGCTCTTTGGGTTGCTGACCCCTGGGCTAAACACAAACAATAAAATATCTTGCTTTTTACAAGCATGCAATTATAAACTCATATAGATCTGGACATATAGGCTCTGGTCCACCTGTTTGCACCCTATTATGCTGTTTCTGACCAATGACTATGGGTTCAAGTCACTGGTGTTAAAATCCAAAAGCCATTTTGATTTTGTCAAGTTGAGTCTGAAGTCATCGATTTCTTGACTTGATAAATAAGAATCCAGCTACACACACACACACACACACACACACACACAGAGAAAGAGAGACAGAGAAACACATTTTACTTAAGTAACCAGTTAACAGTAACCACAGACATAAATATCTTCCAGCAGCTCAATACTCACCAACAGCACCAAGAAGAATCAAAATGCCCACTGCAACAAGTGCATATAAATACCCTGTGCCATGCTGTGTCATCTCTATAAGTTTGGTAAAATTGCCAACAATGATCTGAAAAAGATTAAAGAAATCAGATGTTTGGTTTGTAGCTGTAGCTGTAGTTTGTTGTAGTTTTATGCTACTGCTTATACTACTCTTGTCAGAAAGTGTTCATGCAAATCACTGTTAGCTTAGTGCTAACAAACTACTAGAATCCCATTGGGATGCTATCTGTGTAAACATTATCACTGAGGGTTTTTTCCTCATATTTTGACTAAGTTTTGACATTTATTGCCCACATGTAAGGCTCAGCTCTAACATTCACAGTTCACCGCTAATTTGTAATATGTTATGTAAAAAGCCATTTAATTCCAATATAGATTTCCGACTAAACATTCACACTCATGTTGTGGCTTTTTAGTGTCCATAATATAATGGGGACATTACAGTCTGCAGTAGGATCATTCTAAAAATGAATTTAAAATCAAGAGTTGAAAACCCATTTTGGACTTTTGAGTTTGAATTTAGACTAAAACCATTTTCCTATTGTTTAAAATAAATGATTGATCATTCTATTTTGTCACGACCAAAACAATCATAACACTACAATATCTGTACCAAATGTTTAGGTAGTGACAATTTTAGCTAGTTTTTAGCAGAACTCAAAAACACTAATCAGTACACTGGGCTGGGAAGTAAAGGAATTAATGTAACAACATTACGTGATCAGAATACAAAGAAGACAACTGTATTATTGTCCAGTTACAGTAAAAGAGACAGTTATAAGATTACAGGTAGTAAATAGTGATTACCAGCAGGATTACATTCGAAACACATGCATGCAAACACTTTTTGTCAAAATGAGCTGTTTTAATGATAAATGTTTAACGAGTTGTGTAAATCTGATGAGTTTTTCATTTTGTGAAGGGATCAGGCTGCTGCCAACATTCTGAAGCATCACAAGCAGCAGTTCACATCCTTTTATTTGACCAATCTATAGACATAAAAATATTTTTCTTCTTGTGGCAAAACTAAGATCCTTTTCCTGAAAATATCAGAATCAGGTATTTACCCTCGATTTACATAATGCCTCAATATGTTTCTTACTGTAGGAGTGCAGTTAGAACTAATTTGGTAGAATGGTCCAGTAAAGCAATAACAGACTGAACTGTCATACCTTGATTGAGTCCACTCTGATTTCTCGTCCCTTTTCTCCCACAATTCCACAGGTGAGAGCAGTAAACTTAATCACATCAATCACACACTCAAACTGCTTCTCTTCCTGCAGCCCCCACACTATCACATCTTCTTTACTGATACTGAGCATGTCTTCTGTTTTCTAGTGGGAGAACAGTAAAGTGTGGGAGAAAGAGAGTGAGATACAGTAAAGCAGAGCCAAGATACAGTTACATTTTATTACAATCAATTGCAAATAAAGGGCTACAGAACACAGCCTGAATCTAACTTTAATGATGCTGCACTCAAAACTAATGGCTCTACTAAAACTTTGGCTCTCATGTTCCAGCAGTTAATCAAATAAGGCTCATTGCTGAGGTACTTATAAACTTTGCTTTTTTTTAATTTTTAATGGATTGATAGTGATCTTGGACTTAGTTTACAATTGTAACAACTTATAACAGAAATGTTGACCCTACCTGTATGGTGACCAGCACATCACTGTCCACTTTAGAGGTGGAGAAGCTGGTGAATTCTGGATCTGGGAGGTAAAGCAGTTTATCTGCACACTCCACTTTTGAGTTTCCCACTCTGAGAGAGACACTGAACGGCCCAGAGTCCATGTATTCTCTCTGATTAAGAGTGTGGAACCAAAAGGTCTGAGAGAATCAGACAGATACATCAGATTTTAATGATATGAGTGATGAATTGGACATTTGAGCAAACTCTCTTGTAACATCTTGCCACTTCCATGTGTGCGTGCCAAATTGTACATAAATCCACATTGTTCAAGCTGAGTCATAAGCAAGTTTTATGCATTTGAGTTACTGACTGTGTGTTACATTGTAAAACAGAGTGGCTGTGCTCAACTCATTCTGAGAGATGATCACACTTATATACCTTGTTTGAGTTGAGGGTGATCAGTTTGAGAGATGAATGAACAGTAACTTCATCCACAAACTCCAGATTGTTTCCCAACACGTGGATCTTCCTCCAACCACTGAAAGAAAAACATTAGATATTTATTCAGCCAATCAGAGAAGGGATTCAGAACAGCAGAGGTAGGAGTTGAAGAAGACTAAGCCAATGAATTCTGATAACTAGAAGTGATACAGAAGGAAGTGAGGACTAAATTACCAAAACTTTAGCAAGCTGAGAAACACTGGCTCCATTTCCACTTATAAAACAAAGTAATTTGCCAGCCTAACATCTATAGCAGAAGTGTAAACACTTACAAAATGACTAGAGACTGGAGAAAGAGAAGTGAAGACAGCAAAACACATTTAGCAGTGGTGCTGGTAGGAAACTCTTCTTCATCTTCAAGACTGCTATAGAATAAATACCAAGTACCATCTGTTTCTGTCATTTATGCAGAGTAAATGAAAAGGTATCTACTCCTTAGAGCAGAGCCCTTTCCATAATTTCCTCTCAGGGAATAATAACGTCTAGACAGGGTTGCACAAAATACTGAAAAAGTAGTGATGGCTTACTACTGAACAAACTAACATAAATGTATTCAGCAGTATATTCGATTACAACACAAAAAAGTAACATATTCAGAATACATTAAAATACATCTAGACAAGTCACATAGGAACAGTTTTTTAAAAATGTTGTTTCGTGTCGATACTGGTTGGTCTTTTTCTTCCTGTATAGCTTCTGTTAATGTATTTTGTGAAAAATTCACTTTTCATTTGAATTAAGTTCTGAAATTCAGTTCTGAAATTCAGTATATAAATAAAACAAAGAGGTCATTAAAGATAAAAGTAAATGTAAAAGAAAACAACGTAACTGATAATCCAAAATAGGGTGGAATGGTTAATATATGGTTTTTAATGAAGGGAGTCAATTGTGCATTATTTTTTACCCTGAAAGTGGATGACATGCTTTTGTTATGAAGAGTGTCTGTGTTGCCTCTGCTCTACCTGGTCCAGGTGTTTCTAGGCTGCAGTCCAGTACAGGTGGGCTGGGAGCCATAAGTGATTGCAGCATTACCGTGGCAATGGCCGTCTTCTGTCACCACACACACCCTCACAGTTCCTTTATTCCCACTCGGAATACTGAACTTCAGAGTGTCAGTGGAGCGCTCCAACACTGGAGTCCTGATGGAAAACAGCAGATTCACAGAGACACAAATCAAATACATCATGCATACAAACACACACACACACACACACACACACACACACACACACAAATACACTTCTGTTAACACTCACTCCTTTGAAGTGCACTCCATGACTCCCTGAAAATGGATTTTCTTGACCAATTCCAGGTTTCTTCCTTTTAGCACTGCATTGTTTTTGCCGTGAAAGGAGACCTGATTAGGCTCCAGGGAGAAAATCTCTGGCTGATAATGGGGATAAAGAGAAGATGCATTTGAAACTGGCTTTAACACCAATCTTTCACACTGGGGTGGTTGGGGCTTTGTGTGTGTTATGTTGCCTCATCTGCATACCCATAAGCCCTTGCATGGCCCTGTCATGGTGTAACCATTAGTCATGTAGCTTTAATTAGCCTGTTCTGTGCTGTTGTTGTGCACTACACTGTGTTAGCTGTGCCAGCTAGCTTTGGCAGCTATTTGCTAACTGGCCGTACATGTGAAGTTCAAATGGGATTATTAACCCACGCTGTTTTACAGTGGGGGTCCAGTTTTCCAAAAGAGAAACACAGGACCCACCATACTGTGTTTCTTGTTGAAAACAGCAAGTTTAGTTTAGTTCCCTTTTCACACCTTTAGTTCCCTTTTCAAACATTCCCCAAAGACAGATCTATTTTCTACTGTGTGAAAAAAGTTACTTACTGTGTCCTTCTCAGAAAGTAATTCTTTACAAGTATCCTACAGAGAAGATAAACAAATTTTATTTCACAAAACATTCATACATTTTTACTTTGTTCAAACAACTGAATTCAAATGCCAACTTTTTCAAAACAACATTTTTTACAGAACAGTTGTGTTTGTCTGCAGTTGGAGTTGAATCACCTGCGGTTGGAAATTCTCCAGGATTTCTCAAATATAATCAAGAATAAATACTTGATTTATTAAATGAAAATCTACATTTATTTTGCAAAACACAACGCAGAGCATTTTTTAATTGAAAAACAAATAAATAAAAATAACTGTTAACTGTCTTTTCCAGGTATTTAATTGCAAAATTCCATATTTGGTGCCTGCAACACATTCTAAAATAGCTGGGACAGGGGCAACGTAATGCTGGGAAGTTTGTAGAATGACCAAAAACTCCTGTCTAGTAACTTTCCACAGGCAAACAGATGTATAGGTAAAACTGTGTGAGTGAATAGACCAACAGCTCAAGTGTTATATCAAGCAAGAATGGGAAAAACTACAACAATTGGAGTCCTCAGTTCCCGCATGATTACTGAACATTGTTAAAATGAATGCTGTGGTAGGTAACAATTTTTTTTTAATGTGCCACAGGCATCAAATTTAGAACATGCTTATACAAAAACTTGACTAGCTGAAAGCTAGCTTATTGTCTTTGTACTGTTTTCAGTAGAATACTGGTCAAAAAGGATTTGCAAATCATTGCTGTTTGTTTTCATTTACTTTTATTTACTGTCCCAAATTTTTTGGAATTGGGTTGGTAAAATTAAAACTATATTAGACATTGTACAAAACCTGACAGTCTTGAGCTCATTAATATGTAAACCTGTCTGTTTGTGCCATGAACTCACCTGTATGCTGTCATAACCTTATTTCTTACATAACCTTACCTGTGTGTGTACCTGTGGTGCAGACTCTTGAGACCAACTGCACATCTGATTACTGGGAGACCACTGACACCCAGCCGAGATACACGCTGCACACCTGCATATAAAACACACACGTGCAGTGCAGCGTCACAGCAGAAAAGGCAGCCGAGCCGATAATCATGTATTAGACGTGTGTAATGTGTACATTTTAAATAATTGTATTGTGTCTAGTGTGAAACTGTGAGGTCTGTGAAAGAATATTTTAATGGATGTCTAAAGTTAGTAAACAAAATAATCATGTCTTTTCAAGTCATTTTAAGGAGAAAAAAAAAACAAAATATGGCATGGATATAATTAATGGCACAACACTATGGATCCACCACCATATTTGAAGTTCTTTTGTTTATAAGCTTCATTTAATCTTAAATAAACAAATTGCTGGTCTGCTTTACCAAAGGGCTCTATTTTTGTTCCATCAGTCCACAAGACATTTGCCCAAAAGGATTGCAGTTTGTCTAGGTACATTTTGGCAAACATCAATCGTGCTTTCTTAAGTCTTTCTTTTAGTCATGGCGTCTTCCTTGGCCTTCACCAATGAAGTCCTTCTTGGTTTAGTGTGCGGCGTATAGTACAGATTGAAACCATCACTCCAGATTGCTCTGTGTCTGCCTTTAGCTCTTTGGATATTACACATGGTGTTTTTTTCACAGTTCAACCTTCGAAGACTTTTCTCACTTATTTTCCTCTTTGACTCATGTCCTAGGAGGTTCTTGACAGATCCATTAGCAATAAACTTCCTAAGTCCATTACGCACTGTTGAAACAGGGATGGCAAGGACTTTGGAGATGGCTTTGTATCCTTCACCGTTCTTGCACTTGGAGACAATAGCACTTCTGATGCTCTCAGACAGCTCTCTTGTCTTCAGCACTGTGAGGGATCAGGGAAAGTAAAGTGGCCTTCTGTGGTGATTCTAATTTCCAATTTATCACAAGTGAGTCTAATCTAGTCTAATCTGAATGGAATTCATCAAAAGAGCGGCAATAATTGTGTCATATCCATATTTCCATTTTTATGCTTTTTCCTCCATTGCTTTTTATTATTTTTTTATCCTTAGCTGTTGGCCAAAGAGGTTTCACAACACATTTTATTTTTGGAAATATTGTACATTATGTACTTAAAATTCAGGGGTGCCAATAATGGTGGCCAGAACTGTACAGTATACGTATATGTTTCAAACTACAGGACAGTTGCTGCTCAGAGCATTTTGTAATGATCTGGATTCTCTTACTTATCATATGATGATGTCTCTGTGATGTCTGGACAGCTCCTCAGTTTCAGACTCTCTGTGATTCTCTGATCTCCAATAGTGACAGTCGCTGTGACTCTGAGTCCTGTATATACAAAAGATAACATTTTCTCAATATACAAGCTGAGATATAGAAGGTAGTCAGAACTCTTGAATAGCATTGAGTTTCTTGTGTGCTGCATTAAAGAAAATTAACATTGTATTCCTAAATTTCAGGCCAATTTATGAGTTTCCCCATTGTTGTTCATCTTTGGTTGTTCTAATGATAGTGTGGGCTTCCTAAGTGTACCAATTATATAGATCTAAAGATCAAAACTGACCATCAGGAGGCAGGTGCTGGCTGGAGAAAGTGCAGGAGCAGTTGGGAAAGGCTACAGTAGAGCTGTCACACAGATTCCTATCTCCTGTCTTAAAGGTACATGTTGAAGAAGGGCTGTGTGTGACCTCCACATTCAGGTAAAGATTCAGAATGACCTAAATGAGACAGATAGTAGTGGTATAAATTGTCTAAAGCAAAGATAAATGTTTTTGAGATTTCACTCAAGAAGAAAATGTGATGTACCTTGGTGGAGACTTTATTCACATGAAAAGAAATCAGCTCTTCTTGAAAAGAGTCTTCAGGAATGGAGATCCAAATAGAGTTTGAACACTCATCTTGGATAGAGCATCTAGTGACCAAAATGAGGAAGAAAGGCAGAATTTGAATTGGTGGATAATTGATGTTTAGGACATGAGTTCTAAAGGACCTGATGATATTTTGCACGCATGTATGGTTCCTTGCTAGGAGCACTGGCTGTGTCTTTAATGATGTAGGGCTCAGCCCAGCTTACTGTAGGGTTATTTTCCCCCAAACTTTTTAAAATTAACATGTAAAATGTAACTTTTTACTTAATGTGAGGTTTTATATATAAACAAAATGTTCAGCAATTTAGCAACGTTGATTGATGGCTCTTCTGAACAAAATCATAAACACTGTTTGTAAATGGAATATAAAAAAAGTGTCAAAAACAGAAATGTTTCTCCAATAATGTCATTGTTAAAGCCTTCTTTTACACTCTGCTCACAAATGTCCTGTTAACACAGAAACATTTTATCTGTAGTTTTTATATATTTCAAAAAGCAGAATAGTACAACTCTTCTTGTCTAAAGCCAAACAACATTTCAAACATAAGTGTTACACAGCATTATCACACATGGAATGACAGCACTGGTAATGTAGTTGGATGACCCTGTGTATCAGCTTTAATGGTGGAAACACCAACCACCACCTTCTTTCCTAAGGACGTAATCCTTCTCAATAATGACTCTTCTCACATTGCTCTGCAGTAAACAGCTGCACATGCACTTTAATGCACACTTTGCATAATGCATAATCACTTTAACCACTGTACATACTGTCCCATTTCCCTCTGGTGTAGTCTTTGCACATATGCTCTTTAACTAATTGCACAAATTGTTGTGTGCAAATGTTTAGACCCTGATCAAGTTACATATTTTGTTGATTTTTGAAAGTGAAAAGAAGTAAGCATAACCTCTACAGCAACATATTTTAAAAATATCATTTTTATTGCAAATGTTAACGCAGTTTACACTTAACAAGCATGGTCTCCTCTAAGGAGCTTCTGAAAAAAGATATCAAAGCGCATTTCCAAAACAATTTCTGCTGCCTGAAATACCATTAAGAAATAAGGAACTGTTGAAGTCAATGCAAGATTAGACTGAGAAAACGCCCAGATAGCACTTCCATATAACAGCAAAGAATCTGCTAATGCAGGAGTGATGGTGCACTGTATTACTGTGAAATACTGCTTGCACTAACGTGATATGCATGGAAGAGTCATCAGAAAGAAAACTCACCTGTGACCTCATCACAAAAGTCCAAATCTGAAGTATGCAAAACAACATCTAGATAAGCCAGAGGCATTTTGGAAACAAGTGTTGTAAAACTCTTTGACCACAACCACCTAAGTTATGTTTGGAGAAAATTTTTATGAACAGGACAATGATCCAACACATACCTAAAAAAAATCTAAATTATATATAGCAGGACTACAAAAATTCTGCAAAGAAAAGTGGCTGATAAGTCTACAAAAACAAGAAAAAGACTCCAAACTCGCTATAAAAAAAAATTGGCAAGCTGTGATATCTGCCAAGGGGTGTTACTAAGCACTGACTTAGTAGGGTCTCCACACATTTGCACTGTCACAATATCTTTTTCTTTTCTAAGATACACTATGCTTTTGATTGATCTAAGATTTTTTGTTAAAATTAAAAGAAGAGTTTCTTTGAATTCTCACGCTCGCAATCATCAGATTCATCCACTCGGGATAGGGGTCTGAAGCACAAACCACATTATAAGATGTTCTTTCACACATTACACATTTCGACCAAAGAGGTCTCCAAAGCCTGAAAATTGACACAGTGCAGCTTTAATCAAATATCAATTATCATTTGCAGAAAATTGTTTTTTTTCTTTAAATAATTTGCTGCAGAGGTGTTCACTTCTTTTCACTTCAAAATTCAACAAAATATGTCATCTGGGTTTGCCTTGTGTTATACAGTTAATGATATACAGTATTTAACTATTTTATCACACTGTGCTTGTTAGTCAAATACCTCAAGGTTTCATAGGTCATCTGTAATTTTTTTACATGTTGATCATACATAACTGTCCTTATTCAGAAAAAAGTTTGAAGGAATATGGACTGCTAATAGTTATGGCTACTTGACTCATTACACAAAACATGTTCATGCCTTCAGGGTTTCAAACCAATGTACCAGTGTGATCAAATCTACTCTAAATATTGCCCTAGAAGTTATACCTAACAACACAGGTGTAACTGTCTTCATTTTCAGCTGGTATATGAAAATATAATTGAACTTTTTTTCCTTGTGGCAATTTTCTAATTTCCTCTGTTGGCTGTAGCAGGTTTACAATGAGAGTTTGCTAGTTTGAACCATGCCTTTCAGCTTATGGAGCAGAGATTGCGTGACTGCAGGAGGAGAGAGAACTCTGAGAACTTTGCTGGTGTTCTGGGAGGCTTCTGCTTTAAGTTAGTGTTTAAAACCTTCAAAAATTTCAAGAGTGAGTCAATTTTATTTTGTTCGATTTTATTTTATTTTATTTTAATAGAATCCCCACTGAACAGAGGTAGGACAAGAGGAGATAAGAGGAGATGGGCGTGAAATGTCCCAGGAAACAAAAGATAGATGAAAATTTATATCACTAACCTTTAAGTAGAACTATGGTCCCAAAATAGACTTGTAAATAATAATGTGCAGGGTATATAGGGTAGCTTTTGCACATTATCCATGAATGTTTATCCAATGGATAAACATTCATGAACCTGTTTATTTTGATCCAAAGAGAAATCCATTCAAATGAAATTCAAATAACTGAAATTGTCAGTTTTGTTCCATCAACAACTGATCTTTACATTGAGGTAGCAAAGTCTGAGTATTCCAACTCTACTCTATTTGACTTAAAGGAAATGTGTGGCGTAAGTTGAGTTCATGCAGCAGTTTATTTATTTGACTGTAGAAACACCTGCCATGTAATGCATCATTACACGTGAGACAAAAATGATTAATAAAAATAAGTACTGAACTTTTGAATGTAAGAGATGTGTATGAATGAGTGAGAAACCTACTCGTTTGTAGTCAGACACCAGCCACAGGACGGATCCTGAGAAGCTCTGCAGTCTCTCAAAGTGCTGTACAGACCACACTGAGTCACTGCTACCCGCCTGATCTACAACACAGACATTTACAACCAATTTAATCTCACAATAAAATATCTATGGTATTAGTTTTAAAACATTGAGGTACATGTGTTTCCTGAAATTTCTGCAGTAACAAAGCTCTCATTTAGAGCACTGCCTCTCAATAATCTGAAATGTCAGTTCAGAAAGTTCTGCAAGCATAATTATTAAGGCCAGTGTCACTTGTTTAAAATGCCACCTGTTTATGAAAGATATCTTTAATGATGCTAATGGGTGTTTGGCTCTAACACTCACTTGATTTCTCAAAGCTATGTAGATGTACTTATGATCCACTGGGTCAAAGTGCATTCTGGGAAACACCATCCTGTCATCAGTAGATTTGTACAGCACCGTCACACAGCCAGAATTCAAAGCCTTGTCCAGCACAATCTGGAAACACATAAAGATTAAGAAATCATGATGAAAAAGAATAGTAATAGTAGAGAGAGAGAGAGAGAGAGAGAGAGAGAGAGAGAGAGAGAGAGAGAGAGAGACAGATATAGATCATATTCTGTTATGTATTAGAAGATGGACAGAAAGTCAGACCTTCATCAGTTGTCCATTTGCAGTTCCGATGTAGAGCTCAATCCAGGATCCTCTCTTTTCTGCTGCTACAGATGACATTGAACTGTGTTTGAGCACCACAGCACGAGGACTCAGAGCATGATCTCCTTTCTGCAGAGACCAGAAACATGTTGAGGGAAAGAGATGACAGTTACTGATCTATAGATGCTGAGGGTCATTTTGGTGGAACACTCAATGGTACCTCTTCAGTACCTTTAGTCAGGGAACATAACTGTACCACAGTTCTTTGCAATTGTATTTTTTAAGTTGTATTGACTCCACACACCCCGTCTTGTCTCCAGACCTTTTATTTGATTGTTCTGTTTTAAGACACTAGGTTATGAAAATGTACACACATTACTGCACAGGACTGAGAAAATGAATTGTTACTCTTTCAGAAGTATTATCTGCCACAGGCCGCGCTGCTGTGAGGAACTTGCAAAGCGGCTCTCGGGAGGCGTCAAGCTCGGGTTAAAAAGTGCTGCTGCTGCTGTTATTGTTGTTGTTGTTGTTTATGGAAGTTAATTAGAGTAACTGTGACCAAGGAGGGTGAGTTACAGAGTATTTGAACAGTTTACCCTCCTCATGTCCTCCAGCGTTACCCCCTCCCTGTGCTGCCTGTTGAAGTGCCTGCTCAAAATTATAAAAGAATGTTTGCTCATATGCCTGATGTTCACTGCATATTCTTTTATGTGGATGCTACAATATGGTTCACAATTGTGTGGTTAGTTTTTTTTTCATATAGGACAGAAATCTAACATATTTAGAATTTAACGTGTTACTGACCAGAAGCCCACTGCAGTCAGGTCTGTTATGTAGCAGTGTACTGTATATCAACATACAGTATATTTTATTAGAGTGCTCACTTTAGTTAAAAAAATTCAGTTCATTTTGGTGTTAAATGACTATTTGAATTTCAAGAAATCAAATGTTTACAGTGTTGCATTATGGTAACATGTTTACATTGAAAGAAAAATGAAAATGAATTGTGTAGTTACTCGTTATAATAAATATTTAGAAGAGATCAGATCAGAAATAGGTGTCCCCAGTGTAGATATACCCAAATAGGACCCCCACAGAGATTTTTATTTGTTTGCTCTTGATGTTAAGTACATTTTGTGTAAGACAACTGAAACTTTTTAAAACATCCTCTCATGATTCATGTAAGAAATGGTTAAAATATTATGAATCATAATTACTATTGAATTTAGAGATCTCTAGTAGTTTCTCACCTGAGCTGTGCACTGTGGTTTACAGCTGAAATATGAAGGTACTCGGTCTCTGATCTGACTGAGGTCGTAAATGGCCAAAGCAGTGTTCTGGGGGTCGTGCGCTTCTTGCGCAGTGAATATTCCCGCCCAGAGAAGAGGAGATCCAGAGGAGAGAACTGCAGAGGAGGATAAGAGCTTTTTACGGTCTTTATCATCACAGCACTGTAGCACTGCACCTTGTAGAGATCTGGTCATTTCTGTTTTACTGCGGCTGTTCTTCATCCTTAAGACCACCACAGCTGGACCTGTTCCAGACTTAACGTTCATCAGCAGGTACGAGTGAGAGGGAGGAGATGATTGGAAGCCGTCGATCCACTCAGCATCACTCTGTGGAGAAATGCTGGCTTCGTTTGAAGAGGCTGCTTTAGAGAAAATTCCTCCTATCTGAGAGTCCAGAGTGTTCCGCAGAGACACTCCACCAACAGAGTCACAATGATCAGGAACCTTCTCTCTGGCAACCAACATATAAGTTCCGTTTCCTTCATCAAAATCTACAATAAAGGAAACAGATGATTTATTAACAGATGGTCCGACTGTAACATCCTCCCTGTAGAGACTTCTGCTGATGTCATTGATGTCCAGGAGTTCACAGTATCCACAGTCAGAGGTTCCGCAGGTTATCAGGGTCTTATTCGCGTCGAAAGGCAGTAAAATATTAACTTGGTGATGTGTGTGGTTAGATATGTCCTTGTGTTTCTCCTCTACTAGATCGAGCCTCATCTGGAGGAGCTGAGAGTCGGTGACGACGAACACTTTCCCGTTTCCAACAGCAAAGTTCCTGATCTCTCCTTTAACGCTGAACTCCGTTAAGGAGGAAACAGCGCTTTGGAATAAGAGCAGCATTCTCAGATAAACAGTCCTCATCCTGAATAAACTTTATTGTTGCTGGAGTTACATCTGTTCAGAACGAGGGTCTCAGCATAAAGTGGAAGTGGACCTCAGAAAAGTTCGTATTTCCCTTTGAGACCCATGTGATGACGCGTCCTAAAGGCGGCGTCAGTGACTGCTTGCTTGCTTATTTATTGATTTATGTATGTGTGTATGTTTATATGTATGTATGTATGTATGTTTATATGTAAAGTTAGAGCACTTCTTGTAACGCTGGCTAAATTCTCTCCGCATTCTGTCAGCTGTCATTTTTAGCAGCTTCCCCAGGCTCCAAGGGCGTAGGTTTAGTCTCAGTATTGGTAAAGACACGACACCCGTCCCCTGACACACCCACCGGGACTGTATACATTGCAAAACCAATAATACTCACAGCATATGTTTAATGTCCAGTATCATTTTGAGACCTAACCTGAAGCATTGAAGGTCCAGCTGTTTCTCCCTTAACCTGCCCTACGGCATCTTCAATTGATTTCTGAATTTTCATATATGTAATAAAACGATGCATTGATGAATAAGATACATACAAACATATGATTAAACCTTGGGTCCCATTTTATTTTTGTGGGCAGTCTTAAATATTGAATGAATAGTATGAAACCTTATGAAACCAACTTGTTCTGATGTCAAAATAAACTCATGATCAACTGTGTTGATTTTCAAATGTTATTTTTGCTGAACATCCTAAGACTAATGCTGATGCTTCTCTACAAATCCAAACGTAGGACCTCACCTGAAACCCTGAAAGTTTACCTGTTACGTTATCATCTTATTTCTCTTGCCTGCTGCTGTCTTTCCTGTTGTCCATACAAACTAATTCATTGATGGTAACAATTAAAGGGGATTTCTAGACTGAAATTTTGAATATATCCACCCATTTTATGTTTACTTCTGCTCACAGCCTGACTAGCTTACAGATGACAGATGCCAGGTTAGGTTACTGGTTTATGCTGGCTAACATGGTTAACTAAGTTACATTAACTATGTTCACAGTGGATAGACTGGTGACGTCTAGCTAGCAGGTTTACATTTTAAATAAACATCTACTGGCTGGTTAGTTTACTACCTATTACTTACGCTCTGGATGGGGAAAAAGCTGGTGATGTCCCTTCTGTTTTTGGTATGATATCCACAAAGTACAAAACGTGACACTGACAAAATTACCTTATGTGTGATAGCAATAGAGGAAGGTCATCTGAAAGCATACATTTTCATCCATGTTTGAGGTAACTTACAGATGAGTTACTGTTGTCAGCTCACTGATCAGCTCTAGTCTGCTTAGTGTTTGGCAGTAAGTAGGACATTTGCTCGTCATGAGCTTTCAGATAGCCCCCTCCCCTTTGGCCAGTCAAATGCTAGCATGCCTAAATTGGTCATCTTGAAGATGCAGCCTCTGTGAGGGCACATCAGAATTATCTAATATGACTTCAAACCAAAGATAATGTGAACAAGTTTGCTCAAATATTGGTAAGAACAGTTTTGTCCTCCTAAAATATTGGTAGGGACTTGTCCCCACCATCCATATGCAAACTTACTCTCATGCCAGGCTCTGTAATAAAAAGAAAAGTTCCAATAAAGAGGGTCCCCGATATCCAACCAGTCAAGAGTGCATTTCTTGAGTGACCAATGAACCAAAGTAGTATGAAATTATTTAATATACCAACAACAATTCCCCAAAACTCAGTGGTTTTTTTTTTTTTGCTGAAAAAGAGCCATTAGAAACCATGCTTTCTAAGGGGTATTGCCGTAACGGTTTCCAATAGAGACCACTAGTTTCCTGTGGAATACATTTAGATCCCATTAGGAAACCATCAAATGCATTAAGTTTCAGCCACTGGTAACCTGTTAAATCATCAGGATCCTTTACATTGTGATATAAACCCATTAAAAAAGCCAAAAACATTACAAAAAATACACTTAAAGAATGAACAGTAATGTCACAATACGGGTGTGCTGGTGGTGCAAGAAGGAGGTACACTGCGCCAGGCAATGCCGCAAACTGGAGCTGGCAGGGAAACCAGCCAGGAAAATCGGCTGGCGCCGCGGATATTGGGTTGAGTGCAGCACAGACGAGGTACAGCTCACTGCCCTCATTGACACTGGCTCGTCAGGCTATTCCAAAAGAGCAGCATAACTGCCAAGGGTTAAGTGATGACCTTTCAGCTGAAGTCCCTCTCCCAGTCATGGTATGGGCCTGAGCTGAGTGCACAATGTCTGGCTTGCACCTATGCAGAAGGTGTGCCTTTTTCACTTAGGCTTCCTTTTAGTGGCTGGTGCTGAGCTCGACCTCATGAAGGAAACACTGGGCTTGGAGATGGAACAAGTGAGGCTTCCTGGCATTATAGCCTTCATTCACCACTGGGGAAAAGCCACGGGGTTGTGAAGAGCTGAACACGCGGCATCAGAACTGGTTGGTGGATCTCCTGCTAATCATTTAACCATCTGGACATTTGAATAGAGAAAATGTCATCCCTACTGATAAAACTGTACTAGTTGCACTGGTGTTGAAAAATCAGTGCCCTCAGCTGTTGTTTGCTTGCATTGCTAACTTTTGTTTCTCTTCTCGCTAGGCTGAACATTTGCGTTTAAATTTACTGTATTTAGCGGACGTCTTATCCAGAGCGAATTACATAAGTTTACAACATTGCTGAACAGCCAATGAGAGGACTCTCTTTCATTGCCAACTGCTAGCACTGATTTAACATGCTCAAATTGCCAACAGTTGGACAGCGCTTACCAAAGGCCTGACGGTGTCCAACAACCGACAGTCAGCATATTGTGTGAGGACAATTAGATAGATAGATAGATAGATAGATAGATAGATAGATAGATAGATAGATAGATAGATAGATAGATAGATAGATAGATCACCTCATGAATCCCAGATATACTAAAAACAATAAATAATATGCAGTACAAAAGTAACAAGTAAATTGCATAAATACTATGCGGTTGATGATGCAGTGGTGCAGTGGTCCCATCCAGTGAATGAACAAGTTACTATGTACTGTAAACAATGCATGAACAAGTGCATAACGATGCATAAACAAAGTGACAGTGCAAAGTGCAATATCTGTGGACAAATAAACAAAGTGGCAGTGCAATATGGAATACGTATAAATGTATAATCAAAGTGGCAGTGCATAGTAAGATGAGTGGAGAGATGTAGTAATGTCCAGTTGGTGCCCAGTGAGACTGTTCTGTCAGTGGCTCAGCATACAGTAACGTCCCGGCACAGTGACAAGGTGTTGTACAAATGATCTGTTGGTACAAATGACCTCCTGTACTGTTCCTTACTATAGCGAAGCTGAAAGAGTCTGTTGCTGAAGGTGGTCATGGAGGGGGTGTGATGTATTGTTCCAGATAGCGGTGAGTTTATTAAGAGACCTCTTTTCAACCACCCCTCAGAACTATCCAGTGAGCATCCCAAGACAGAGCCAGCCTTCTTGATCAGTCTGTTGAGCTTATTTGCATCTGCCCCTCTGATGCTGCCTCCCCAGCAGACTGCTGCGAAGAAGACAGCACCTGCATCAACAGACTGGTAGAAGATTGCCAACATCTTGGTGCACACATTAAAGGATCTGAGCCTTCTCAGAAAGTAGAGACTGCTCATCCCCTTCCTGTACACAGCCTCTGTGTTGACACTCCAGTCCAGTTTGTTGTCAAGCAGGACACCCAGATATTTGTAGGTGTCCACCAGATCAATGTTCAGATCCACGATGGAAACTACGATTTGTAGTTTATGGGAGCTTTTTCTCTGACACTTCCTATGTGCTGTAGCTGTACTAGGTACTCTCTGCTGTCCAACGCTAGAGAACCTGTGGCGGCCCAGCATGAAGCAGTGGTTTTCCTCCTGTGTGTGGTAGCCTTTAGCAGTCTAAATTACTATATTTCCTTCTTTGTACTAAGAAACTCTGACCAAAACATAGACATATATTCACTGCCCTCTGCTGGAGGATAGAGTTCAGACAACTCTCTCTCACACACACACACACACACACACACACACACACCTACACACACACACACACACACACACACACACACACACACCTACACACACACACACACACACACACATTTTCAAAGCCTTCTGGCTCAACATTTTTTGCTTATCCTTCTGGGTCATGGGCTAGCTGGAGCATATCACAGCAGTCACTGGGCGGAAGGCAGGATACACCCTGGACAGGTCATTCACAAAAATGCAATAATACAATGACAGAAAGAGGTTAATACAAAAAATCATAATTTTCCTTTTTGTTTTTTTTTTTGTTTGTTTGTTTTGTTTTATTTGTCATGACTATTGGCAAATTTTAGGTCACCCTAGTGGTTACATTAAATGAAAAAAGAACACACACACACACACACACACATATATATACATATATATATATATATATATATATATAGCAATTCTGCAGGAATGTGCCTAATCTCACTTTATCCAAACAGCATGGACTATGACTGCAAACATCAAGAGATAAATAATAGACTACAATGTAAAACTGTACATTTCTGTAACAAAAATATATTGGAGGCAAATACATAAATCAAATATGATCTCCAGCACTAAACTGTACTGGAAAATATTTTGACCACCTTGTTTGTCTGCAGGCACATTTTGCTCAGGATAATCTGGTGTGTAACTTGAAATAACATCTTCATTATTTAAGCATTGGCCTTCACAGTGTACAGGAGACCAATAAAATAACAAGATCACCTAACAAAATATTAGATAATGAAAAGAAGTAATCAGAAGCTTAAGGATTGCTCAACAGACCACTATACAGCAGCGCCAGCTTTGGATCTGCCTCCTGGCATCATTGAGAAATTTTATTGTTGTTTGAAAAATAAATGCCCATTGTGAATTTGATGCCAGCAACACGTTGGGTCGGGGTCATGTTTACCACTGTGCTGCATCGCCTTTCTTTTAACAGCACTCTGTAAGTGTTTGGGAACTGAGGAGACCAATTATTTGGACAGCAATGATTTTTCATGTAAAACAGCATCAAATTTCATAGTTGTTAGGTGACTACACTGAGAATTCACTACACATACTCTAGACAT